TGTATTTTCAGGTCTTAACTATAAATTTACCAATCAAACCGAGGAGGCGATCGTATTCAAAAAAAGGTGTTCAAGAGATAAAATATCATGCATAAGATATAATACGATGCTAAGTCTTTAAATAGGGATTATTTAAAGACTTTTTCTGTGTTATTTTTTGTTTTCTTTCATACGAGTTGCCTGGTTCATTGAATATAACCGCCCGTTGCACAAAATAAAGTTTTGACATAAAGTGTTCATTTATGAAAATATAAAAAAATGAACACAATCGATAAATTTACTTCACCCAGTAGAATCCAGATGCATCAATGTAACAACTACCGTTAATATTTTACATCGTTTGGACTATGTATAAAAACAGCAAGTACTTGTCAACTTGCTAATTGGGAATATAACGCTTTATAATATTTAAGTAGGTACTAATTATCCCGGAACTGTACGTACTGTAATTTCCACTGTATACTTTACTAAGCTAAAAAGCGTCGAAATCAAGGAGGTTTAGGCGTGAAGGCGTTTGTATATTATAACTAATGTGAATAATATGTTAAAACTTTGCAAATTCTTATTCTTTTATAGAATATTCGTACGCAGTGGCTTCAAAACTGTTTACTCTATAGTAAATAATAGAATGTAATGTAAAACAACATTACGCTTGCAATGGATGTTTTAATAATATTCTATGCAATCTCCTGAAAAAAGGACTGAGCCTATAGATTTAAGTTAATAGACATGTGGGAATAATAATTATGATTTATTTTATATGCTACAAAACAAGAAATCGCAATTACAACCTATTAAAATTTATATTTCGAGAACATTAGTGTTATAACAATCAAATTTAGTGTGAAAGTGGTCAATATGGGCACACCATAAAGCTGAGAGCGCTGTGATCTCTAATTATGGTCATTTCGTCGTAAATAGTGGCCATCGATCATAAAAAGCATAACTTCTGCTCGTAAAAGCAAAGGCGAGTCGGTGTGGTCGATTGAGTTGTGCGAAACGTGGCTATTTTTAAGTATTTTATTGCTTTAGAAATGAAATAAATAATTTTGGTAGATATTGACGGTGTAAACATTTAAAAAAAGCTTTTTTAATAAACTATATTACTACGCTAGAGACGCTTCTTATAACGCTAAGCCCTAAATATCAAAAAAATTAAAAGTTCCAATAGTTTGAAGCTTGACACAGTTGATTGTCACTTGTTTTTCAGTCCTTGTTTCGGGAGCTGATGTAACCAACATCATGCTCTTTAATTAATTAACTTTTATACTAAAATGAGCGATTCACGACTTAAATTTTGACTGCAGCATTGATGCGTTTTATTCCCTCATGTACGACATTAACCTTACCGCTAATTGTTCGATAGCAACCGTAAAAAATGTAACCTAATAATAAACGGACGATTAATCGATTTACCGGATCGATTGAGAATAACTGGAAACATAACTCGAGATTATAATCGATTCGTATTTAATAGGTTTTTCGTTAAATGCCTTTGTGAAGTACTGGGAATGCCAAGTTCAATTATTCGAATGGAAGCCATATCGAGCGGTAAACGCTTCTGTCGATCACGGGTAAATAAATGCGTGACGTATGTGAATAATTATATGAATTTATCGGCTACTTTTCCATCACTGATGATACGAACCATCATAATCCTAACTGTCCTCGTAGATGATAAATGTTTGCAAGTTGTTTTTACACATAGGTAAATGTTTGGTACTTTTCCGATGCTTGATACTTTTGCGATGTTTGGTACTTTTCCGATGTTTGGTACTTTTGCGATGTTTGGTACTTTTCCGATGTTTGGTACTTCGGTTCAGCGGGATACGATTTTTTTTTATCATAATTCTATGTATATAAATAAGACAACTTTTTGCAATTTAATATGATTATTTGCAATAATCTTCTATCTAGTTCAAATACGTTTTTTACTTGGGTAACTATTATACAAAACTCCAGAAAATCGAGCATATCTCAAAAACTACATAGCTGATTTTGATTAAACTTGGACTGTTCTCTACGTTAGAATATACTTGATTAAAATGATAACTTGATATGACTTTTAGTGATAGAGACATTAGAGGACTAAAATACATACGCTTTGTATTATGTAGTTAAATACTATCTAATTACTACAATATATCATCAATGTTAAACTTATAACCTTTTATGAAGTAGGATAAATGGAGTAGGCATTTCCGATTCTTCCGATACCTCAAAGAATTTCATCATGTCCAATCACAAACACGACCCGTTTTCCGCTGCACCAATCACAATCAAACAGAACGCGCTATTGTTTCGTCTTTTGTTTTAGATACCAAAAAAGTTTTTTTATAATATATAACGACAATGATTATATTAACCGTTTTACTTAATTACAATCTGTCCAGCTGCTAAATAAAATACACAATGCACACGTATAATAAGTTCCATGAACCGTGCGCAAAGCGTTAAGAAAAATATAATTTATACTTCGTACATGTAAACAAAGAACTTTGTTTATCTTTTAATTAGCATGAGTTTTCATAAGCAAAATTAGTAACGGTGGCCATTTGTTACAGAAACCACAGCCTTGCGTGTTTTCCCACACTCGCGATTTGATTTGGACGAAATCGAAGTTATAATTGGTTAGCGTATTTATTGAAAGAATCCATGTCAATAAAATTTCATATTTTATTATATTTTTAATTTTAGTTGACAAACAGTGCTTAAGTATTTGGGCCTTTAAAATTATAGCATATTTTTTTGTTATTTCTTTGATAATTTAAGATTTTTAATATGTTAATGTTATTTTTAAGAGCCCGCTCTTATAGTCTGTGTAACTTTGGCGGGCTTAGTCTAGTTTGACAATTAAACAGGTTCTGACGCGAAAAACTGTAGCTTGCAAAGCTCTATGGTTTTATGACCAAGATGGAAGCAATATTCAAAGCGTCGAGGTGATACGGGTGGAATTTCATATTCTGCCTCGATGTCCGATGATGAAACTCAGCAGGTATTAATTCAAACAACTCCTTTGAACGTAGATGATGCAGAGAGACCCCACATCTCTACGCAACGCCAAGGGATCAAGCCGCTCGGAAAGAGATTGGTCGTCGAAAATTCGAACCGCACTTTGTTGAATTCGGTCAAGTGGCAGGAGCTGGTATAGGGGAGCTCCCGCCCAGAGGTGAGAACAGTACTTCACGTGGGGCCGACGTTTTATAAAGTTGCAAGCGATGGCTGAAGTGAAGTGTCGTCTTGCATTGCTGAGCACACCAAGCTTCTTGGATGCTAATTTAGCCTTTCTCTCCAAATGACCGCGAAACTGAACGTCGTTCGATATGTCAACGCCCAATATCCCGATGCTGAATGTGGCTTTAAGAAGAGTGTCTTCGTAGAGAGGAGAAGCAACAAAGGGTGGAAAACTCACAAACTTGTGTCTTCTTGGGGTTAATGTTTGGATTTTATAAATCCATTTCTGCTTTGTATTAAACACATCATTTATGGAGTACACAATAAAACCAGTAATAAAATTAATTTCCATTTCGCTACATCAATATTTTCACTGATGGCCCAAGTTCGTTTCTCGGGCAGCTTGATTAGTAGTCAATTAAACATTTCCATAAAAGCAATAAAATCTCGGTGATTCGGTACATTTTGTTATAATCAATTTTTTGGCGGCGGCATTCGTTTGTGGATACAAAATGTATGGTTTATTGGCGTACCGAATTTAGGAAGGCCGATGCGTTCACCGCTGCTCAGTTTTCACGGGTTTTGGGGGCATGATGTGGATAAAGAATATCTTTAACGAAATACATGTTGTATGGATAAATGTTAACATACAACTATATATTTTAAAAAGAAGAATAATTTGATATTGTTAAGGACAATAATATTTTTCTTTAGCATTTTCTTAACAACCAAAACGAGACTTACTATTTATATGCGTTTCAATATGTATTGAAATAAATTATTTAGGTTAAGGTTATTGTATGTTTAATAGTAAATTAAATAATTAATTTTCTATCTATAAATTTTTTTATTATTATTATTACTATGTAGGTTAATGATATTGTAAATACTGTATATTTGTGTGTTGGAAAAAAATATTTAAAAATGCTTTTATATTTTTGAGTTCGCTCTTTAAAAATTCACGAAAGGTTAAAATAAGCTTTTAGACTTATAAGGCCTCAATGCATATGCAATTAAAAATCACTATTCCAAAGACGGAGTTTTTAAATGAATAAAGCTTCAAGTACACAGAACCCGGGGCCGATAAAATAAAACCAGCGTGACTAAAGCTCACCTGAAGAAGCCGAAAGTGGAGTGATTTTATAGTTTATAATTACATGTGATTGCCGCCGTGACCCCTTCACTCGGTTTATTGAGCCGCCTACAGTCGTTTTGTTCATTATTTTTGTTTGAGCATTTTCGTATATTGTGACAGTTAGTTATTGTATTTATAAAGAATACAGTTTGCAATATTCTTAACCTACGTAGTAATAAATAAATAGAAAATGAAAAAGTTTAGTCACTGTGGCAGTGTGCTGTATTGCGATACTTATTCGTTAAGCGAGGAAAGTACCAACTTGGGTCACCGGTGCTATCTACCAGGCGGCAACTTAAATCTTTACTTAGCACCTCTGCTCTTGAATCCGACGGCCCAAGAGTCTCTACTCCAAGGGGAACAACGTTTATAAAGAATAGCTTTATTGTCGATATTAACAATGTGATAACTTTAGATTAGTAAGTATTGTAATAAATGTAAATACTTTTAAAATTAAAATATGACAATATTTAGGCCTACCAATTATATTCCTAAATTCTCCTTCCGGTATTTCATATCTTAAGAAACATTAACTTCATACTCAGGTGTTTCTACAGAATTATTTTTATTACGAACGAAAGATTTGATATAATCACCTTTATTTATTTAATAGCCACTTGCTTAACCCGACGGACTCACTGACTCGTACAAAAAAATAGTTTTCGCCCTAATAGGAGTATCGGTTACATACCTTCGTCTTACTCCCGCCGATAGAACCAGGTCTAATAGACCCGGTCTCGTAGAACCTGGTTAAGATCTTGGAGACGCAGCCATGAGAGACAAGTAGCTGTCGACTGATGTCACAGGGTCGCACACCAAGTATGGCCAGCTCGACGATCCTCTTTCGTACCATGTCAGGGAGGGGCCGGCCGTTGACAAAAACACCTCCCAGCTGGTTGACACCCGCCTGGCCTGGAAAACAACGTGCATTCGAGTAACTTCTCTATTTCTGAATCAGTGATGAGCAATATGTGCCTTTTTTTAGACTGAAAAATTAGGCATTATTAAAAATTTTGACTGAATAATTTTGCATTCTTAAGCATTTTGACTGAAAAATTGGGCATTCTTAAGAATTTTGACTGAATAATTAGGCATCCTTTAAATTTTAGACTGAATAATTGTGCATTTTTAAGCATTTTGACTGAAAAATTGGGCATTCTTAAGAATTTTGATGGAGTAATTAATAAAACACTAATTTTTTTAGTATTAGATACCTTTGTAGGGTTTAGATGTATATTCTAAGGATCTTCGAAAGTTAACATATTTATGCGTAGGAGTAAAATCTGATATAAATAATAGGCTATATATATCGCATCGTATTAATGTTACCTTATACGCGCCTTAATAATTTTCCAAACATACAAAGTTGAAGAAAAAACAGTATTAAACATCATCAAAAGTTCGCTTTATGAAGACATCAAATAACACTTATTTATGGGGTTCTTATCAAGATGTTGAAAACGGTCAGGAGCGAAATTTCGTTCATTTTAAAAAACGTAACATTCTAAAAATTGATAGGTTTTGGGTTACCAATAATATCTGCATAGAATTGGAAATACGCACCCAGTAAATGCAACTTTAAATTAAATCTTGATTATTTCTTCACAAGTCGCTTACACTTAAAATATTCTACTCCAATAACTAGAATACCTATCTACATAATATCAAGATATTTTTTTCGAGTCTAATAAATGATACAAATCACTTAGATTTTACAATGTGTTCAAAAGTCGTACATCGGACCCCTAAAACCTTTTCGACAATTGGTCATACAGGTAGATGAGGGAATAGGAAATTTGGCAATCAAATAAATATTAACTCAAATGAGACAGGTGAACTCACCGTCCGAAAAATAACAACCTTTTGTTTCTTTACATTATTGTCTTGTTAATGAGTAATATTTTTTATGTATTTTTTGTAACAGAAGTAACATTTTTATCCGTGTAATTTATGAGCTAAGAAATTTATGCGAAACATAAATGATATAGTAAAGGAAATCCGCTGCCTATTCGTAAGAATTGGCTTGTAACAATAATTATATATATTCCGATAAATATAACTTTATCAAAATAATACAACCATTGAATTAGTGTTCACTTGTTTTTGAAACGAGAACAAAAGAACGTCATTCTTACTATTGAGGGATAATTAAAGTCTATCCTTTATATCATTTAGTGGAACGGCTCCCGGTGCGAGGAATCGTAAAACTCGAAGTAATTTGCGACTTAACTCGGAGGCGCGGTATCGGATAGCCGTGAAATACCGCTACGGCTAAAGGTTGTACACATTGCATTTTTAACAGTTGACGCATTTTTTTTAAATAACCCTCTTGTCTTTGAGGTTTTATCGATATATTGTCTGTAGATGTTGATTTTATTTGATTCGAAATTTAAAAATGTTTGATGACGATGCGCTGTTGCGATTTATTACTGTTACGAATATCACAAAAAAAATTAGGCAGTTTATGAAATACAAACATTTACAATAGAATATTTTATTATAACAGCAATTAAGAAACTTAAAACTATTTCAGCGTGATTGGCAACGCATTACGTTATAATGTCACAAATCTAAATGTCGAGTTATTGTTGTTGTAGATTGTAATTTTTAGATTTCAATTTACTACATATATTTGTGACAAAACTTAATACAACATTTTAAAAACACACCAAAGAGATCGGACCTCATACTACAGCTATAAAACACAAATTTCTGAAGGCTCTATAAATGTATGACAACCAAGTGACAACTTTTTATTTCTTAAAAGACTGTAGACTGAAGGCTGTATGGACTAAAGTCCTTTGCCTTTCCCATTAGGGATAAATTAATATCATCATATTAAAATACATAGACATCAAATATTTCCCAGCTAGGAACGGTTTATATTGTATAATTCAATTGTCGTTTTTAGTATTTTTCTTTACTTAATAAGTAAAGAAGTTACATGTTGAACCTCCACAAATATTTTAATTAATATCATAATTAGCCAAATCGGTCCAGCCATTCTCGAGGTTCAGCGAGACCAACGAACAGCAATTTTTATATATTTATAAGATTAAGCTTAAGCGCAATCTACACGATCCCTTACAATAACGCCGATGTTTGAAGTATCGTGTTAAAAATTACACAACATAACTTCATGTGGTTATCGACTTTAAGAGATAATAAAAATTAAATTGCTAAGAACAAATTAGTAGGTTAATTTTATTGCATTAAGATAATAAATTGTGGCACTGCAATTGATGACTTTTACAATGGCTGCAGCAGTTAAATCTAGATGGTCGAGACCATTATGTGCGAATAGTCGAATTAAAAATAATTGATTTCTGTTCGCAGCTTTGGTTACAGCTGAACGTTAATTGAATAGTGCGTTGGATTAAAATTAATTGAATTTTTTAAGAGATTTATCTATTTTTAAAGACTGAATGTATGAAAAATTTGACTTATCTGTTTATATTCTATAGATTTGACGATCTGATCCTAAGCTAGCCAGTTTTGATCCACTAGCACTCTTTTAGTACTTATCTACGAACAAATTATTCATATTTGGTATAAGAGCGTTCGATAAAGTTGTTACCAGCTTCTGATAAAGAAAAAAATCCTTAAAACAATTTAGTTAAGGCTAGTCCAATATATTTCCTATAAAAATATTGCTATTAAGTTGTTATTAAGAAAATCTCGGAACACAATGTGATACTAACACTTTATGATATAACTTACAAGAAGCCTTAAAAACTGGGATTGCACGTGATCTCAGTTTTACAATCCGATCGTAAAACGTTATTTAAACTTTTTCTTAGCGAATTGCTCGTATATACCGCAAGTTATGGTGATGTTTATGACTTGTGACTGATTTTATGCCGCCGGTCGGTTAACACGGGTGCTGATTTTTTTTGTAATTCAATCTCCGTTTTTTACGCACTAATACATGTGTTTGTCTCTAGATGGCGCTGCAATACTTGGCGATTAAAAAGAGTGGCGGAAAGTTTCTGGCCTGTTCTTCTTACCAGCTCTACGCCCTTGACTTGCGAACTGGTAGTAAATGTAAATTTACAATTAATTTAACTTCTTTTTGACGATTCATAAGTGTACTTGTTTACCTATATGAATAAAGATATTTTGAGTTTGAGTTTGATACATCCATATTTCTATATCCACAATTACAAAGGAACGCTCACATTTACGTTTCGTACGTCTGAGCTAAATATATGTATAAAAATCTTACGACGGCACGCATATCAATCGAATTTGTATGGTCACGTGTGAGCTGATTTCATTCCCATACAATTTGTAATAAACTATTGTATTACGCTAAGCATCGTCTGAAATTTGTCTTAAAGACCTGGGTACGAGCCAAAGTAATAATTGTTCGTACATATATTTGAGATGGCTGTATTTTATAATAGCAGTATAGAAACCGAATTAAAATATCATGTACATGAATTATGGAGGTTTCACTCTCAAGACATAAGAGGAAATTGAGTTATGTCAACTGTCAACTTGGCATTGTAAAGATTGTCATAGAACGTTGGAAAGTGGGAAGCCATTTGAAGGAAGATTGTAAAAGAAACTTTGTATCTAATAATTTTAAAAAAGGTCTTATGTCTCTAAACTGTCATCTTACAAAAGTATGTAGAATTTTTAAATTAAGTTTTTGACTTCAATGCTTATTTTTTTTAGTAATGGATCGTTGTAGATGTGAAGAATACGAGGATGCTGTGAAAAAGCTCAGATTCTATACAGTTGGAACACTAAGGCCGGATATAATAGACAATTATGATAGTGAGTACATAGTTATTTCTTAGTACCAATGGTTTTCGCAATGAATGCATGGACTTCGCTTGTCACTTTCCTTTTAAAACCTGACTGCAAAAGGCACAAATTTTAATAAATAAATTAACAAGGTTTCTTGCATTGCCTCTTTGATGAAGCACTGCTAAAAATCTTTACAAAAACCATTCTTTATACCTACCATAACGTAAAAATAAATGGCTACTTCAAAATAAATCAGGTAGACATGGTTAAAAAGAAATATATTTAGTAACATGCATTTCCTGTTCTAAGGGTCTGGCTTTATAACAACCTGGGTTCGCCATGGAGTGGACTACGAAGATATGAAGTTCTCCAAACCAAAAGCTTATAGAGTGCTTGATCCCAGTGAGTTACCGGAAAACAAGATGGCGCCAGCTGTCAGGAAAGTTGAACAAATGTGGTGTCCTTACCTAATTACTAGACGCAAGTGGTAGTACAGAATTAACGCTACTAACATTTTGATCTTTCAAAGTAATAAATTTATTTTCAAAAATTTGAGTGCCAGTACAAGAGCCGATACAATGGAAACAAGGGAAACCTTTAAAATTACGCTTCTATGTAAATTTTATTGTTTTATTTTTACTTGATTTTAGAGAAGTTTTTTTTTGGATTATATAACATTTACCTATATTTTAAATATATTTTGTGTTACCTAAAATTTGGTTTTATTATTAAAGTATTATTTTTTGGTAAATAACTTACTTAAAAGAAAATCTGAATGGAGAAAAACGGCATATTGCGGGTAACAACTGAAATGAGTAGAGCGTCGTAATAAGCAAATTTTATATAAAACACTACCGTAGATTATTCTAAGATAAAGTGTTTTATTTCTTTATAGAAAGGCACTTGACCGTAATTGAACGCTTCCTAGTTTGAGAAGCGTCCGTGTTTTTTCGCTTTTGTTAGTCTTCGTATCTTTTTAGACCACGAATCCAGCCCTTCTTCTAAAGATGTTTCGTATTAGTACGTGAATCATGCTATGCTTATAATAATATATTAAGTACTACTTATTATCTAAAAATTCAAGGTACTCTATTCTCAAACGATTTTTGCCCCACCACTTATATGTACTCGTAAAACGAATTCGAATTACGCGTTAAAATTCTCGCTTCTATTCCGGATGTGTCAAATCCGGAAAAATACTAGTTTCTTATCACAATACAAGACTACAATCTGTATCTTGAACCAAATCATTTCGCGCCATTGCCTAATCTGTGGAGCGGAGCATAGATTATAATTTAATTGACAATATAAGTTTATGATATGAAATTGTAACACAGTTGTAAACAGCCAAGTAGAAAATCGAATTTGATGTTAAATCGTTTGATGTGCCGTCCGAGTTTTTTTACATTTTTTAATATTGGATCGAGGCCATTCTCTGCATACAATAAATAAACTCTGCTTTTGATTAGTATACAATCATGATAAGAATTTAAGCTCTATATGAATCAGGAAGAGATAACGTCCATTTGCAGAAATTTGCTAATTATAAGACGTTTTAATATGTACAGCATTTTTTTTAAATATTAGATCACATCAAAATAACCACGCCAGTGTATGAAACGTGCTGTCATCCGTAAGTTGAATACAGAAATCTTTAACAGAGACATTTGGCTTGGCTTCACATTTAATTGAGCATGAACTTGTCACGTCATTTAAAGATCGTCACACTAATACAACCAAAAAATTATACGCATATGTATATTACAAGAACTAAAAGACAGACATATTAACATTATTATTTTTAATGTGTTATTTCAAAATAATTTAAACATTTAATTATTGTCTGTAAATTGTCTAAGTCTAAACTTCAATAAAAATCTTGTTCTTTGTTAATAACGAACTTATAAACAGATCAATTAAGTAATATTTAAAAAATATGCACAATATTTTGTAAAATCTATTCATTTGACGTTCAAAATACTGGCATTGCTCAGAGACCATATGGACTATTAAGCAAGGTATAAATATTTTAATTTATTTACGAATTAACTTCGCAACTAAATTAAGCGAAATTAATTCATTCGAACCGGAAACATCGTGTGTGATCTCACTATTCGGAAAGTTATCAAAGAGATCTAATATTTCTCGGCTCCCGATATTATCATGCTAATGACTTTGATATCTTGATAAATTCTATACTTTATTACTAAACTAGTAGACGACGTCTCCCAAACCACAGGTAAAATGAGAGCTTGGTAACAAACGAAATTTCCTATATTACGCTTGTACAGCCATAATGCTTTGTTTGGATTTGCACGGGAATTTTATAATGCATATGGTGTAAATGTCAACTAAACCTGTATCTTTTAAAAGGTAGTAGTAGTAGGTTTTAGCAAATTTAGCGATTGGCTTAGACACAAAAAGGGCGGGAAGGACTTGTTCGCTTTTTGAGAGTGTTTTTTGTACAATACTGCGATATCTATTGATTATGAAATATTTGATGTAGGTATAAACTGTATTGGATTTTTTAATTGTATGGAATCGCAGCTTATGAACGGATAGACCAATTATGATGCAGTTTTTGTTAGATGCGTCTGCATCAAGATGGTTCTTAAGTGCAATGTAAGAATATCTGTTTAGGTTCTTTGTCTAGCTGCGGCAGAAATCTTATGTTTGACTATTGGATGAGCTACTCTGATGCCGGAGCTTGTCGGGGTTTAAGGGCTACTGTACTTTTACATATTTCCGAAATTTATCTTCTTTTCTATTATTCTTTTCTTTTGTCTCAATTAAGACCTTTTAGGCGTGACCATGCAAATTCTGTTAGATTTATCTGATGAAGTATTTTAATAAGGCACTGATTTAACGCGACAATTGTATACAGTAGTATTTGGTAAGTTGAAAATTACAAAATGCATATTTAGTAACAAGTTCGGCAGTTAAAATTTAGCACTGAAGTAAACATAAATGAGTCGTAAAATATTATAAAATGGATCATATAATCAATACTGAGCAGTGAAATAGCTAAATGGGCAGTTACGAGTAGGCCATCCTAAACCTAACCTTATCTAAAACTGCCGAACTATTTATTGAACTGCCTATTCCATCATTTTTACCGGCCAATTATTTACTAGTGTTACTGTTTAGTACTGACATTGTAAAAAAAATAACTTGCCAATTGTTTTTTTATAACTGTCTATGTTTTATTGTCGCACAAATTTACCAACCAGCAATAAAAAAAAATAACTGCCTATTATTTTTTTCAACTTAGCATAATAAGTTCTCGTATATTTAAATAACAGTTCAAAAATTAGTTCCCTTTTAAGAACGATAAAAACTGTATTTTATCTTGATAAAAAGTTTTATATATCATATAAAATTTAATTAATGAAGTTTTAATATAAAACACACCACATCTGGCCACAAAATAAGCATTTTTAGCAAAAGTAAGGTGATGTTATGCAAATCATATTCTTTTGAAAATAAGCTTGAATGGACTTTAATTCTGGATTAACATCTAAATGTTTTATATTAATATAAAATATTTCTTAATCTACGATACATTACATAATTTTATGAATAAAAAATATATTTATATTCGGAAATACGATATGGGCGGTTGTAACAAACCTATTTACTAACCAAATTTAGATAAAGATCTTAAAAATCATATTAGTACAAAAATGTTATTTTGTAAAATTCCTTATTTTATATTGTTCGTTTCTTATTAAGCATTTAAATTAATTATATTACATCTTAAACGATTAATACGATATTTAATGAATGAATTTTATAGTTTAATAATAATAATTCTTGAATGAATTAGAGTACGAAAATTAAAAAAAAATTAGTTCCTGCGGCAGTGTATTAATGCTGACATTTTCTCGCTGTATTGCGATACTTATTAAAGGCATCTAAGTGATAAAGACATATTAGGACAGCCTTCGAGTTAATACAGTCGCGATAAAAAGTTTGTTTTTTACGAAAATCTGTTAAACGCAGTTTTTTTTATTATGTATTATAAAAAGTTGATATCCTATAATAAAGAAAACTAATGACCCTTGGTATTGGACCTAGATTTCGTTATGTTTAGTGATAATTTTTTTTTCTAATAGATAAGTAGGTGACTAGCATTCTGCGTCTGACATGCCGTTTTTGGGTTTAAGGCATGTCGGTTGCCTCACATTATAAATGCGAAAACATTGTGAGGAAACCGACATGCACGATCAGACGAGAGAGATGACCATAGGGATGAGAGTCACACGCTACTGCCACATGACCAACGCCACTCATACTAAATGTACAATATTTTACCCAGGGCCGCGCCGCCCATGTGTGCGAAGTGTGCGGTGCACAAGGCGCTGATACAATAAGGGCGCCGCCACCGAAATTATTTATACTACACTACAATATTCTTACGTACGTTTGAAGTTTCATTTTCGCTTAGGTTTTAGTTTACATTAATTACTCAGAGCTTAGCGAATCAAAAGAAAGGCCGCTGGACCGCCGTGAGTTTTTTTGAGTGTGTTTATGTCTTATGATTTCAATAATATGCCGACATACCTTGATAAAATCCAAAATGAACTATTTTTTATACTCGGTAACCAAATTCAACATTTTATTTTAAATTTATGTCGAATTAATAAATATTTTTCAATAATACTGGATTGTACTACTGACGTTTCAAAAAAGCACGAAGAGCAATGTATGATAATAAGATTTGTCAACTTTAACATGTAAACTAGAAAGTTAAGAATAAGAGAGCATTTCCTAGCTTTCCAATTTATAATAGCACTTTCTGCTCAATCGTAGATACAACTGGCGCTGGAGTAACGTCATTTATAATAGAAAAACTAAACGAAATTAATTTGGACATAAAGAACTTAAGGGGCAAGGCTATGATAATGGCTCAAATATGCGCGGTAAGAATATTGCGGGATGTACGAGTAAATCTCCGCACTTTTTATGTCCGTGGCAGCCATAGTTTAAATTTAATAATAAATGACGCTGCACATCTCATACACGACTGCGTTTTTTAATATTGTGCAAGAACTATATAAATATTTTTCGTCCTCTACCTAAAAAGATGGGATTTATTACAAAGATATGTCATAAATCTGACCTTAAAAACGGTTAGATAAAAATAACATCATAAATAAACTATGTAACAATTTAATTCACGTTTTATTTTTCACGGCAATTGGCCGGAGGCGGACGTTTTACCTATTTAAGTGGATTAAACTAAAGAAAAATTTTCTTTCAGTCAAAATTAAAAAATACATTGAAACTTGAAGATTCTTAAAAAATAGGCCGAAATATAGAAGGAGTTCCCTCAAAGGCCTGCAACACACCCGCTAAAAATGTCTATGAGATTCAATGACTGCCATTTTTTTCCGTCCCTAAGGCTCGTTTGACCCCTATAGAAAAAGGAGGCGTTCATGGGTTTCGCACACAGGCGCTGCCGGGGTCGGCGCGGCCCTGATTTTACCCT